GAGTGTTCAGGTGTTCCTCTCCGTAGTTTCTTGTATTTAGATATCGGATATCCAGGGTGTTCAGGTGTTACGCTTCGTAGTTTCTTGTACCTAGGTGTTAGATGTGGAAGTTCAGAGTGTTCAAGTGTCCCTCTGCATAGTTTTCTGTGTTTAGGTTTCCTGTTCTGAACCGATCGGCACCAAGATCTATACATATATAGTACTACTTGGCGGGTCCGTGCATTTCTTGATATAAATTTGGTACAAAACCAGTACCAATTTTCTATAGAAAGCATATTAACAATAACTCGTCAAAAATAATCACGGTAAAAGCTTAATCCCCCAAAAAACACTTACGTGTAAAAAACTACGCCAAGTACAGGATTGCTGTGAATTCCTCTAACAAAAAGTATTGATATCATATTATTGAGGCCAAGTACATAAGTCACTACATGTTTTCCTATTATATGATCTAGCACTGGCCCATCATTTTAATTATATTTTCAATATTTCCTATAACGTTTTCGCTACTTTTTTATGTTACTACTGCTTCCCGTATTTAATTATGATTTAATGGTGATTTAATAATTAAAAAAACTTTAGGTGATTCCTTATCGAGTACTACTTGGCGGGTCCGCGCATTTCTTGATATAAATTTGGTACAAAACCAGTACCAATTTTCTACAGAAAGCATATTAACAATAACTCGTCAAAAATAAACACGGTAAAAGCTTAATAACAAACATACAGCATTAGAATACTATGAGCACGTATAAAGAGTAAGTACTTTGGAATTCCTGGCACAGACCCGCCAAGTAGTACTCGATAAGGAATCACATAAAGTTTTATTAATTATTAAATCACCATTAAACCATAATTAAATACGGGAAGCAGCAGTAACTTAAAAGAGTAGCGAAAACGTTATAGGAAATATTGAAAATATAATTAAAATGATGGGCCAGTGCTAGATCATAAAATAGGAAAACATGTAGTGACTTATGTACTTGGCCTCAAAAATATGATATCAATACTTTTTGTTAGAGGAACAGCAATCCTGTACTTGGCGTAGTTTTTCTGTGTTACCTCAGTTTGGAACTCATCTATACCGAGCAGAGCTCTTCCCATTACTCTGCGTAGGTGATTTTTAAACGATTTGACTCCAGCTTCCCATAAACCACCAAAATGGGGTGCCGATAGCGGATTGAAATGCCAAGTAGTTCCTCTTGCCATGAGCTCTTTGGTCAGTGCTGGCTGAATCTGTTTGCAGAAAATTTTATGTTCATACTGTAACTGCTGATCCGCTCCAACGAAGTTTGTCCCACGATCACTATATAGATCAGTACATAGTCCTCTCCTTGCTGTGAAACGCCGGAACGCACCAATGAACGCCTCTGATGACAGATCCATGACTACTTCTAAGTGCACAGCCTTAGTTGCAAAGCACACGAATATTGCAACATACGCCCTTTTTAATTGCCGATTCTTGTCCCGTAGGTTAATATCAAATGGTCCGCAATAATCTACACCTGTATGCGTGAACGGACGTGAGCCTTGAACTCGTTCTGCAGGTAAGTCTCCCATCAATTGTGTTGCTTCAGGGTGTTGGTATCTCCTACATACGACGCACTGTCGAATACAGCTTCTCACAGCGTTGCGTGCTCGCAATATCCAATATCTTCTTCTCAAAATGGACAACATAAGTGTACCGCCACCATGTAGAGTATGTTCATGTGTCTCTCTGGTCATTAAAGTAATGATATGCCCGCTTCGTGGCAAAACTATTGGATGCTTCTGCTGCGTCGGCAACGTTGAATTCCTTAATCTACCTCCTACTCTTAATAAACCGTCTTCATCTAAGAAGGGGTTCAGGCTAATTATGCTGCTTCTTGGCGGTATTGGTTTCCCTAATTCGATACATGATTTCTCCGCAGAAAATGCTCTCTCTTGAATAACCTTGATCCATGTCTTCAAAGCTTCTTGAATCTCCTTGGCGTGCAGTTCCTTTGTTACTTCGGGTTGAGAAAATCCAACCTTCATACTTCTAATAAATCTTAGACAATATGCCGTAATTCGCAAAAGCCGTGTCAATGAAGAATATCGCACCTCCAAATCGTTCTCTTGATCTTGTGTAACGATAATATTCGTCGCTTGAACTCTTTTCTCGTCCAAATGCACTTCATCAATGATATCCTGATGTGGCCATTCCGACGATGGAAATCTTAACCAATCTGGTCCTGTCCACCATAACTTATGCTCAATGATTTCGGAAGGTTCAAGACCACGAGAAAGACAGTCCGCAGGATTGGACTTTGTCAGTATATGTTCCCACACAGCACACTATATTTCGAAAACATTACAACAATATTCCAATATTTCAATGCGACAGCAATGTTGTTGATGTCTTTATGTCAAATATTGCACAATATTTCAGGGCAATATAATAAATAAAACTTTCTGA